TTTTCTTTCCATTTTGGAATTTTAATAAAACAGTCACTGGCCATTAAAGCCCGCATATCATGAGAGTGTAGGAACGAAATTAAAGATGAGAAATTATTGGGACAAGGAGATACCACTTCATACCCATTAGGATGGCTATAATTAAAAAGACAGGTAAAAAGAAGTGTTGATGAGGATGTGGAAAAATTAGAAACTTCATACATTGCTGATGGAAATGTAAAACGGTGCTTTTGAAAATTTGTCAGTTCCTCAGAATGTTTAACATAGAGTTATCATTTAACCCAGAAATTCCTAGAGATGTATCCAAGAGAATTGAAAACATATTCACACTAAAATTGATACATAAATGTTCTCTAAAGTATTAGTGATAGTAGCCAAAAAGTGTAAACAATCCAAATGTCCAACTGATGAATGGGTAAGTAAATGTGGTACATACATACAATGGATTATTATTCTGCCATAAAAAGGAATGAACTTCTGTTACATGCTACAACATGGATGAACCTGAAATAATTATGCTACATTAAAGAAGCCAGTCACAGAAGACCACATAGTGTATGATTTTGTTTATATGAGATGTTCAGAAAAGGCAACTCCATAGAGACAGAAGGTAGAATAGTGGTTGCGTATGACTGTATGTCAGGCAGGGAGGGAGACGGGACAGTGACCGCTAAGGGGTATGGGTTTTATTGGGAGGTGATGAAAATGTTCTAAAATTGATTGATGGTTACATAACTCCCTAAATATATTAAAAACCATTGAATTTTACATTTTAAGTGGCTGAATTGCATAAAGTGTAAATTATATCTCAGTAAAGCTCTTTCTAAAAAATAATTAGTGTGAAGAGAGATTTATAAGCATTTCAACCCTTGTTAGTGTTCACCTATCTTCTAGTTCTGACCATCCCTCCATGATGACCTCCTCAACTCTGAGAGTAAAGTTGTGACTCCTGCTACAATTCTTTCCCTGTCCCTGCAAGGGACAGTAACTGTGGTTCGTATCTGACTCTTAGACTACCTTCCTTCCTGAGTCCTCCGTGGGCCATCCCCTGCTTCTGCAGCATTAGCCCTGGTCCCTCAGGCTCTATAAATCACACTCTCCATTCTTCCCACTCACTTTAAAGTGAACTGAGATACTTTGTATAAAGGATGAGGCAGCACATAAAAATAACTAGTATTGTACTGATTTTTCTCATCTGGTGGTTTGGGGGAAACATATTTGTAAAATTCTAGCAAATGTGAGAAGCCACAGAAAATTGCCTCTCATTCAGGTGGAGAAGCTAGATTTTTAATTTTGTTTTACTGATCAGTGAGGTAGGTACAATGATATTTTACTTCATAGTTTTCCTGCAGGAGCGACATTCACCCATCCTGCTGCAACTGCCAGGCCAACGTAGCTAGCGGGCCATTCTGTGTGTGCCAGAGGCAGCCGTGGAAAAGGCAGGCTCCTGGATTCCTGGGCTGGCAGCCCCATCTCCCCAAAGTGCAAATGCAACCTGAAGTATATGACTTACTAAGGGAGCACTTTGTTACAGACAAGTTGGAAGAGTCTGTTTGACAGCTGAAGTCAGACCATTTTGATTTTTACATAAAGATAGTTAAACATCGCTTTAACAGGTTTATTCTAATTTGGTAAAGGCAATAATTTTATGGGATGGTAACTGTTCCCTTGCAGTCCTGATTCCTGCTGTTACTCTTGCATTTTCTTCTGATTGGCAGATTGATGGGCTCCCAAGAGTTTGCTCAAAAACCATTTGCAGAAGAAGAAAGACCAATCAGAGGAGCTTGCCTTCTCTCCTGAAAGATGAGTTCTAATAGTGTGGGTGAAGGGGCTATTTTTACACACATTTTACAAATGATTTCTGGCATACTCATGGACTTTTTACCTAAATTTAATTTGTTTGAAAGTAATAAATGTGCTTAGTTTAAAAGTCCAATACTACTACAAGACTTCGAAAGAAAAACAGCAACCCTTTCGCCAACCGATCTCCTCCCCCAATTTCTTCTTCCATGAGATTCCAGGAAATTCCTTTCATCTCTTTAGCTGTACCTCCTGTTATTTACCTTCATATTTCTAAATAACAATATTATACTGCTATTTATTTTTCAGTTACAGCTACTACCCATTAACCTCCTGTCGTGGAAATGAGAATTCAGCTCTCATGCTCCTCCACCTTGTCATCCTTGAAATTCCTTTTTCTTCTCTTCTCTGTTGGATCCTCTAATTTTTGTTTATTTGTTGTGACTGATGTTGTTAATCTCATGTCTTGCTCTTTCTTAACTACCCTGTTTTGGTGGAGCATATCCTCTAGGAACTTTTCGAAAAGTGACACATGGGAAATTCCCTGGCAGTCCAGTGGTTAGGACTCGGTGCTTTCACTGCCGTGGGCCAGGTTCAATCTCTAGGTGGGCAACTAAGAACCTGCAAGCCTCAAGGCACGGCCAAAAAAAAAAAAAAGTGACACATGGAAGATACATTTTGAGATCTTGTCCTTTTTTGCCATCATATTTGATTGAAAGCTTAGCTGGGTATGAGATTCTAGCTTGGAAATTATTTTCTCTTAGGACCTCAAAGGCATTATTCCATTGTCTTCTAACTTCTGGTACTGCTACCGAAGAGTCTGATACCATCCTGGTTCTGCATGTGATCTGTTATCTGTTCTCTCTGTCTCTGTCTCTCAGAGCTTTTATTCTTTATCCCCAGAAATCTACAATATCTTTGATATCTATCAATATCATTTGTTGTGGGTTATTTTCATTCATTGTGTTGGGCCTTTGTGGAGCTCATTCAATCTGAAAAATATCCTTCGGGAAAGTTTTCTTATGTAATTTCTTTGATAGCTCCCTGGTCTGTTTTATTTGTTCTATCATCTTTCAGAAATTAGACTTCCTGAATTGATTCTCCAGCTTTCTCTTCTCCATACTTTTCCCTATTTATACTATTTTCTGGAAGAGTTAGTCAGTTACTTTTCCCTATTTATACTATTTTCTGGAAGAGTTAGTTATCTTCCAATTCTGTTACATTAAAATTTTCTGTTATCATGTATTTAATTTCCAAGAGCTTTCTGTTGTACACTGGATATTCCTCTTTTCTAGCATCTTGCTATTTCCCTTCCTCTCTGAAGATAACAGTCATTATTCCCTAAAGTTTTGCCGTGATCCCTGCGTTGCCTCTGTGTCCTTTACCATACTTGCATCGTGGGACAGATAACTCAATGTGCAGCTCCAACATGGCTTGAGCCAAATTAACATGAAGAAATCACTATTGAAATTTTCTTCTTTTTGTTTCTGGAGATACTGCACCATACTGAGTCTCTTCCTAATATATTTGACCCCTCCTCTCTCCCTTCAATGCATCCTCTTCTCTCCTTCTTTAATCGAGGGGCCATCATTTGATGGATCTGCTACTCGTCTGTTTCTAAATTTAAAAAGAAAAAACCCCCAACTCGGAGCTTTCCTTATTCTCATAGGTTCAACTAGTAGCTCTGTGTGAATCTATAGTGCTTCAATCTCTATTTCCAAACTGTTTCGTACACGAGACCTGGTTCTATGTGCCTACTGCCTATCAGACATCTCCCTTTGAAGATTCTGACACAGTTCAAATGCAACATGTTTGCACCAAACTAACATCAAACCAATTTTCCACAAAATGAATGTCTGTTCCCAGTAGCGTCTCCTTCACTCAGCCTCTCTTGAAACTCGAGAACCAGTCAGTCTTGCCTTTAATCCCAATAGCTGGCAACACTCAGCTCATGCTTACTCAGAATTTGAGAGTGTTCTACGTACTAGAGACTGTGGTGAGGTTAATGCTATGACAGGTTTAGGTCATGGTCTCTGCTCAAGGTGTTACAGTCTGTGATCTGGAAGTGCATGAGGCTCAAGTTAGGGGTGTGTCTACGCATCTTCTAGATCACTACTGTTGCAGGCTGGGCTCTCCAGGAAGCAGACTCTGAGGTGGAGATTAATGCACAGAAAGTTTGGGGGCGGCGCTCTTGAGGTCAACACCCGAGTAAAGGAAGAGAAAGAAGCAGGAGTGGGCAAAGGGAAAAGTTGAGCTGTGCTGTCTTTGTGGCGGCGTCAGCAGACAGACGCTAAGGGGAGTTCAGAAGCTGAGACAGCAACTCTTCATACAAGGAACCAGAGCTTTATATTTCCATGGACCAGTCATTGGATGCAGGCGACCTCAGGAAAGGGGCTGACCTTGGACAAAGCAACTCCCTTTAGGAGAGGCAATCCCCGAGGGCTTTCTGTCAGCAGTGGGGAGAGTCACGCCTTCATCCCTGAAGGGACATGGGGCTTGTGGTGCTGCTTCCCGGCATCCACGAGATCTGTGGACTTAAGCATAGCCTTGGTCACCTCAGAGGTAGATAACAAATAGTCAGGGGTTGGTTGACTGAGTAAAGAATTCAGAAAGAATGAGGTAATCTTTCATTCATTCATTGTATTTCATGCCAGCTGAACCCACTCAGGCTGCATTAGGTATTAAAGATAAAATGATAAAATTCACAGGCTCAGCCTTAAATAAGCTTGCAGTCTGGTAGGGACTACCAAAAAGTAAGCAAATACTATAATACCATGAGAATTATAAAACAGAGGATTATGGACTAAAAATGCATTTTCAAAGAAGATTTAGGACATGAAAAATACCAAATGAAAAAAGAGAATACAAACTGTTTAAACAGATTTGTTTAAGCATATTTTCCAGCATATGTTTTTGTTAAACCAGTGCTAAAAAATCCCTTGCATTCTGATTTGTAAACTTTCTGAACTATTTTTAAAAATTACCATTCACCTAGAAACACTACATGCACTGAACTGTTACAGGCAATATTGTCCTTGTCTTTTTTGCAGCTTTATTTTTTTTCCTTCTCTAAATATGTAAAAATGTATAAATATATGTATAGAAAAAAATTCTGGAAAGAAATTCATCGAACTATTAACAGTACTTATAACCCCAAGTTGTTGACTTTTGTCTTAATTTTTTTTCTCCTTTAAGCTTGTTTTTTTTTTTTTGGTCTTGACCAAATTTTCCACTGTAAGTCTGAATGCCTTTTATAATGAAAGAAAAAGACTTTAAAATACAGTGTGAAAGTGTGACAAAGTCATGTGAACACAGAAGAAGAAAACTCAGAGCCGTTAAGTGAGGAAGAGCTTCTCAGAAGAGGCATCACCTACGCCACGCCAAGCATGGAAGGTGAGTTGGAACGGCCGGGAGAAGGGAGGGGGCTCACGGTGCCTGTGCTTGAAGGACCTTTCAAGCAGAAAGGATGAAATGTGCCCCTGCCCCTGGATGTGAAGAAGCATGTAGGGTGAACTGCAAGTTCAGAAAGTCTGAGAACTAGGGAGCTTTTGAGTGGTGAGAGACGAGGCTGGAAGGGCAAGAAGCAGGCAGATCGTGAAGGGCTGGAGGAACAGGAATGTGGACTTCATCTGGGAGCCCCAGGCAGATGCTCCCACGACACCTAATACAGCTGAAAAGGACCCATGGCCGAACAAGGTGTTGATTAATGGTTGCTGTTTTGTAAAACTCATTTAGAAACAAAAAGTGATTTAGAATGAAAAGCTTCATGCGTGGCATAGAGTTTCCCAGCCACAGCAAGGTGACCTGACTCAGGCAGGGAAATCAGTCTGCTGAACGTGGAGAGAAGACGATTTAGACACGAACACCTGCATGCGTGCACGCCCACACCCCCTTAAGACTCTAGCATCTGTATTTTGAAAAGGAGAAGAAGAGAGCCAGCCCAGATTCACTTTGCAGACTTCACAGGTGAGCACCAAGCTTCTCAGGTAGCCCTTACCCATGACTCTGCACTCTCCACAGGTCACTAACAGTGTTAACTGTTTGCAGCCTGGGAACCCATTACAAACACATGTTCGGGCCTTCCCTGTCTAAAGCTGCAGGGATGTGTTTTGCTGAGCATTTATCTTCCCTTTGCAGAGCTCAGCACCTCTACGTGGTGTGCACCAGCTGGGCTGGGCTGCCTGGGGAAGCCTGGAGATCTGCCTTTTTCTAGGGCACCTTGGATAGCACCCGCGCTGTTTCCTGTCCCTGCCTCCATCCTCGGTGTGTGTTTGTGTGGAGAACCAGTGGGCACCGCGGGCACCGCTTTTGCTCCTGCACTGGCCCCTCCTCCTCCAGCCCCACCAGCGCTGCCTGGTGGACTGTTACCCTCTCTCACTCAGACAGTTGCAATACTTCTCACTGCAGCCCTGCTCCCTCCACCTGTTCTCCACTCGACCACCTGGACAATCTCTGAAGCAGAGAAATGAGGGAGTCGCCTGCTCAAATGACTCTGATTACCTCTGGCAGAGTCCAAACTCCCCACCCTGTTTTCCAGGCCCGTCACCTACTCACGGCCCTCCACAGTCTGGCCTCAGGCTTCCTCTGTGGACCCATGTGGGAGCACTTGCCATCAGAGACACAGACATCACAGGCTCACCCCTCACAGCCCTGCTTATTCTGTAATATTTTCACCTTCTTCTCTGCCAGGGAGTGGTGGGAAGTATGAACTTTGGAATCAGCCCAGCCTGGGTTTTATTCCAGTAATAGCATTACTGAGTATGTGATCTAGGATAAGGTATTTAATCTCCCTTACAAATGAGGAACTGTAGTGGGAGGGGGCTTATCCTGTTGCCTTAGCTTCCCAATGAATCTCCAGGGTGGCCATGAGGTGATAAGGAACCCCATGTGAAAGAGTAGAACAAGATATATTCCTTGGGATTTACAAAGAGGGGCCTACGAGATCCAGCAATCACGGCCCCAAAAGACTGTGTGAGAGAAGGCTAGAGAGGAAGTGAACTTCATGAGGTTTACATATTAAATTTGCCCAGTAACCTCATCTCACTGGAGGTGAGAGGGCAGAATCTCTCTCAAGATAGAGGGTGAAGCTTTCCGCCAAAAAACCCTCCTCAGAAAAATTCCCCTTTCCCCTCTTTCAGTGCCTAGTTGAGACTTCAGCCTCAACATCCCTTTACAGAAACAAAGACGTTAGTTAAAAAATCATGACACCACAACACATGAGCTGTCCAAGGGAAAAATGTAGCAAGAGGCAACCAATTACTACCAGAGCCACTGGGTGGTGGCCAGTGTGGTTGCAGCAGCCAAAGTGTCTTGTTTCTCAAAAGCTCTGCTGAGAATTTATTGCCCATCTTCTTCTAGTCAAGGAAGGTTCGTTGTAAGGTTGCCAGCTTGCTCAAATAAAGAGAGAAGGATATTGAACAATTACAGGGGCAGCTCATGCCGTCAGGCACAGCTGGTCTTCATGGGGATTGCAGATGGGCACTGGGAAGCCAGGAGGGATCCAGGCAGATTTAAACCTGACCTGAGTCTGAAGTTTTGTATTAGTCTGGTCTGGACTTTGTCATACCTGAAATTGGGACGGGTTTAATAACTGCAAGTGAGAAGGAAAGGCAGGAATCTGGTATTGTCGAATTTCTGACAGACTGTGTTTGAAGGAGATAAAGGTGTTTCTAGACTGAAGCCTAGTTCATTGGGCCCCTTCAGTAAATAAGTATGTCCAGTATGGAAAAACATCTAGGATAGTGTTTGGCATACAGTAAGTGCTCAATAATTACTAGCTGTACTAACAATGGTTATTATTATTATAGTATGACCACCCAGTGCCTGGCACAGAGTATTATGATGAGTTATTCAAGTGCATATCTCTCCCTCCACTAGACCAACACTCCCTTTGTTGCATAAGTAGTAGGTCTGGTAAGAGCAAACTGCATGAACATGATTCTCTGTACCCAACAAGGATGAGCCACGATACAGAAAATAGTGGGACCTGGAGAGCTTGATGCGCAACAGCAGAGCATGTGTTCACTGGCTCTGACCGACTACTGCACCGACATGCTGGAGTTCTGGATTCTCTTCAGATACGACTTCTGACAAGAAGCAGGGGCAAAAAGATGTAAGCGAGAGAGACGGAAGGGAAGAGAAAGGACATCTCTAGGTGGCCTACTGCATGCCAGGGACTGCGCTGGGCCCTTTACATTTGGTATCTCATTTAACAAGATGAAATAATGAACAAGTGCAAGTGGTGGCTTTTATCACCCTCACAGAACACGGATACGTTTTAAAAATGTGCAATGCTGGTCCAGAGAGCTCTGAGCCTTTTTTCTTCCATTATAATTCTTGTGTAAACATGAAACTACACAAGTTTAAAGATGGAGCCTCCCGGGCTTCCCTGGTGGCGCAGTGGTTGAGAGTCCGCCTGCCGATGCAGGGGACACGGGTTCGTGCCCCGGTGCGGGAAGATCCCACATGCCGCGGAGTGGCTGGGCCCGTGAGCCGTGGCCGCTGAGCCTGCGCGTCCGGAGCCTGTGCTCCGCAAAGGGAGAGGCCACAACAGTGAGGGGCCCGCGTACCGCAAAAAAAAAAAAAAAAAAGATGCAGCCTCCCTGGACACAAGCATAAGAGTTCCTAATATAATCAAAATCCTCTTATTTATTTTCTTGCCTAAGTGGCTTCTCCCAGGAGGACAGCAGTTGCATTTCCTTCGTTCTGTGTGGCAGTAGTTGCAAATTAATGTTCTCTGCCATCAAAACAGCTCTACACACTTCTGCCAAAGGTAGTTATCTCATCTGATAACAGGTACAGCCTTGAGACAGCGGAGTTTTAAACCCCAGATCTTAGAAAGTTTGGGCAATTAGCCACTCACTTGCAGAAAAGAGCGAGGAAGGCCAAGACAGCAGTAAAACAAAAACTTGTATGACAGCTGTTGTTCCAAATAATATCTGCAATTATGCTTCTAGATTGTTCTCTCCATCTGTAGGCTAGAGTAAGTGAATTGAGGTGGTAAATAGGAGGAAAAAGAAGGCAAAGAATGGAAAGGTGATGAATAATTAGCAGGTTCTCGGCTTAGCATTCCAGGTGGTGGGTATTAGCTGGAGAATGCCTTCACTTTCAAACAGGGATCGGAAGGCATACGCCTAAGAAAAAGCTATAGAAATGTCACTTGAGAGAGAATTTTAGAATGAAGATATATATATGAAGCACATTAAATGAAGGATATACTACAAGATTAGAATTACATCTATACACAAACCTGTAGAATTAAGTTATACCAGTATAAAAATTTGTTGAATTAAATACATAGGGTTTTTTTTTTTTTCCCATCTGATGTTTATCAGACAGAGTGTATTTTTCAGTTTAGAAATTGCTTGTGTGAAAAACTACTGGCTCTAGAATAAGCATTTCTTGGCATGGATCTTAGCATGGTTGTATCTGGAAAGAATTTACTTCCAGAGACCTGGCTGGAGATAGGAGGTGAATTCAGTCATAAATACATCTACATGGTTTGGTTCAGTAAAAACTCCATGTACCCTGTTAAAAGAATATTACTTTATCTTTCACTACTTATGTTGAACAATTCTAAAACCTAACTGTCTTGCTCATCTGGTTTCAGGTTTATATGGAAAAGTGGGCATAAGAAGTCCACTTAGTTCAAAGCTTGTGGCATGTGGGGTTAGAGGCCTCCAGTTAGTGTCCCAGATTTGCCCCGACTGGCTCTGTGAGTAACATTGCCTCAGCAGACTCGTTGGCTGCCTACCGGCTATTCAGTCTCTTCTTGCCCCTCACTTCAGAAACACCATTTTGCCCACAGCAGCAATATGTCCAACTCAGAATACTCACCGCCCAGGACTCCTTGCAGCCAAGGCTGAGGCTTCATTTTCTAACCTGTTGAATATATTCTCTTATTACAACTGAGTGATCTCCTCAATTGCATGCATGGTTCTAGATTTTATTCTCAGAATATTACATTAAAAAGGAAATAGTGTGGGACTTCCCTGGTGGCGCACTGGTTAAGAATCTGCCTGCCAGTGCAGGGGACACGGGTTCGAGCCCTGGTCTGGGAAGATCCCACGTGCCACAGAGCAACAAAGACCGTGCTCCACAACTACCGAAGCCCACTCGCTTAGAGCCCACGAGCCACAACAAGAGAAGCCACCGCAATGAGAAGCCCTCACACCGCAACGAAGAGTAGCCCCTGCTCGCCGCAACTAGAGAAAGCCCGTGTGCAGTAATGCACACGCATTGGGTTGCACACGTAAGACCCAACGCAGACAAAAATAAATAAAACAAATAAATTTGTTTAAAAAAAAAAGGAAATAGTAGTTTAACCATGGCTTCAGTAAAAGGAACCAGGCTAAACTACCTCTTGCCCATCTTCTTGTCTACTTATCTGAAAAGGAGTCATTCTAGAACTAAGCTCCATTCGATGTGTGGCATCAGGGAGCCTTGACACTTAAGGGTGAGATTTCTATCAGAAGAATGAATCAGGGTTTAAACTGGGAAATATTCAATTCAGAAACAATTTTTAAAGTTTTACAAGGTTTCAAGTAGTGTTCACTGTTGACTATCTTTTAAAAAACTGAAGATCCCAGGATCGAAGAATCATAGGTACTTTTTAGTTTTCTTTATACTTCTCTATGTTTTCCAAATATTCTACAATAAAGATTTACCACTCTATAACCAGAAAAGAAAGATATTTTGGAGTACAATGAAAGGGTTTAGAGAAAAAAAGAAAGGCCTGATAAATATAATTTCCTTAGAGAATAACATTACATAAAATAATATTAATAAAAATAAATGTCAGCATTGACATTTTCATCAAACATGCTTTTGAATGTCAGCTGAAGTTTGCTTCTATCATGTGTGCATTCCAAGTAACTGAAATATTTAACGTCTGAGGATTTAATAAGATACTCTGTAAAATTCCCACTGATCTAATAATTTTTCTCCTTATGGACAGACAAGAGAAGCCCATTATCTTCAATGCAGGATTCTGCTTACATAAATAGCCTAAATCATGGGGCTGGAAACAAGAACTGAGCAAGTCCAAATAACTCCCGGCTAACACTAGTATGACATTTGGTTAGGGAAGATGTCCCAAGAGGAATGTAAACTATTAGTAAACATCCTGTTACTAAAACTTGGACATAAAAAGAATGACAAATGGACTGGATTCAGCAACTTGATTCTAAGCACGCATGAGTTTGGCTCCCGTGAATACATTTTTGGCACATACTATTTTTCATGTTCTCTTATGTGGATATCGTCCCTACCGTATGAGGAAAGATCAATCAACATTTACTACTTGCCCAAGAACAGGTTGAGAGCAATCAGCACCCTCACTGCTGGCCCTGAGGTCGAGCAGAGTGAGTCACAGAATTCTCATTCCTTGCTGAGTCTCCCATCCAATTTCCCTCCAAGGCTCACCCCTGGGGACTGATTACAACCATCTGCTTAAGAGCTATAACTCTGACCAAAAACATTAAAAGCTACAAACTGTTAAACAGAGGGAATACAAGAACAACAGGGCAAAATGACTAGATCTCAAACCATGCTTGGAATTCATTATCCCCAAACAGCTTCCAGTGCATCCAGCTGAGATCTCAGAAGGTACCAGTCAAGTGGCGAGGGAGTGACAGGCTGAGGCTTCCACTGGAGTTGGACCAGTCCACGTATGGGTCCAGGAGCTCGGACACAGTGTTCGAATGTCACTGCTACATTTTCTCTGCTTACAGTCCAGCTCCATTTGGGAGAATTTGTGGAAGGGCTTTTTTTTTGGTCTGGGTAGTTTCTTTATTGGCAGATTTACTCTTTCAAGATATTTTTAAGGCAAAGGAAGTGTAATAGGAAACCTGCAGCATATTAAGAGTTAGATACTCCCTTGGAAAAAGTGGAATGATTAAGAGAACACTTTGAAGCAAGCAATGTGTGATCAATATGTGGAGAGAGAGGATCAAGACAAGGAAATCTTTACTAGAAAGAGACAAGAGAAGAGGATTTCAGTGTTAACGCCATTTAAAAGCCAGGCGTTCCTCTGATAATGAACTGTAGCTACAAACCACAAGGGATAACTGCCTATTGCTTTATTAAAAAGTAAAAAGATGAGAATGTCTAGACAAGAAAAATATCAGAGATCATGTCTTAAATGTTCTTGTACTGGAAAACAGAAAACCTTATACAGTTCCTTCTCACTTTCCTGCTTTTTTACAACCAAAACCCAAGAGGTGAGGAATTGTGGAGGGAATTTTTCTGGGACCCAAGGCCATTCCCACATAAAAGACAGGCAGGTGCTTCAACATGCCTGAAGCCTTCCTTCTCATCAAAGGAGATAAGACAGTAGGTGCTTTGAGGGTAGGGTCAGCATCCGAATTTTTTTTACATCCCCTTCTCCCCAAACACTGTATTAACCACTGAGAAGCCTCTCAATAAACGCTAGATGCATTGAGTGAACTGAATTGTAATAACTTGGGTTTTTGTTGACCTTGTTCTTTAAGTCATATTTTCTGTCAGTTGTTGTTTAGATTTGGATCCCAGTATGAATCGTACACAAGGCTTAGGAAAGATGAAAGAAGGATGGAGAACAAGGACTGATGAGTTCGGGATAACGTGAGTGAAATATGGTCTCGATTGCACCCATCTGTTAAATGAGGAAGATGGACGAGGATGACCTCTAAGTTCTTTCCAGCTTTAACACATTATGAGCTTTGCTACATCTCCCATCTCATTGATACTTTTGCTTTTAGCACCTCACAATTCGACCCCTCTCTGAAATACTGCATTTTCTATTCATTCCATCACTATTAATCTAAAATATTGGAATGTCCAACAAAGACGGGCTTTAAAATAAAGTATTTATTAAATAAAATAGGAGACATCCCTATAACAGAATCCTATTGACAGTATGGCTGGTAACATATTGACACTGTCGCTAGATGGCCACTTATTAAAGTGGAAAGTTGTTCATAAGTTAAAAAAAGTTAAAAACCATGATATCATAGTAAAGGAAACCCTGGAATATCTGGAAAGAGATTCACCAACATATGATTATCTCCCAATGGTGGGATTATGAGTGACTTTTTCTTTCTGGATTAATGCATTTTCTAATATTTTTACAATGAACATAGATTACTTATGCTATAAAACAGGAGAGAAATAAAAGACTGCATCTCAAATCATCCTAAAAAGATTGCTTGGGCTATTCTTAAACTTTCTATGGAAAGTGATTCCTTGCCCTCCATTTATCCATTCAAGGCTTCTTACTGACTTCACAGCGAGGCTGCAGATTTCCACTTGACCCAGAATTGGTCCTCCGGTTTGCATCAGCTCCACCTTCGCTAAGTCTCTCCCCAAACACTGCCTCTTCCCATTTCTTCTGGACTGGATCCAGTCAGCTTCTTCTAGGTTCCATCTTGTGTCATAGAGATGAAAATAGGCTAAAAGCTCTATTCCCAGACTTCTCTGAGGCTGTGGTTCAATTTAGGTTCTGCAGTGAGATGCTCTCGCATGAAGATTAGAAGGCAGGAGGAGACAAGATGCTATCTTCCTGCAGTGTTGCTGCTTAACACTGACACTGACACCGGCTGCAGCAGCCCAGCTCTACCAGCTCACGTGTGGTGGGTGGCTCTGGAGTGGCCAGACTGGTGGCAGTACAGTCTTGGCAGTTTCCTGATCTCTGCATCACAACTACTGTAGTGTGACCTTGAAGCCAAAAGAACCCCTGACTTATTCCTCCAGTCCTTCCAATGATACTGTAGGCACCTAATTCCCTGTGTTTCATCTCTTTCTGCTTGACATGCCTGGAGTGGTTTATTTTTCCTGCATTGAAACCTGAGAGACACATCATCCAGGCAGAGTCTATTGGCCATGTAAAGCCTGGTTCACATCCCGTCTTCTCCATGAAGACGTCACTGAAGAGTGTGTAGATCTACCTAATACTAGACTAGAGCTGAGGAAACAGACTGCTGAAGGTTCCCTTGCAGGGCTTCAATTTGTTTTCTATTTGGGGTTTCATTATAAGATTTCCTTGAACAAAGTGTTCCTTATCAAAAAGAGCTCTGGAACCCACTGGACAACCTTAAGACCAGAATCTTCTTGCGAAGAATATGCTGTTTCTTGTAAAATATCTGTGATGTTGCAACCAAAAGGAATAGAGCCAAGAATGGGGTTCATTCTAGGCTTTCCTTGAGATATGGGACTTGCACGTTTCAATGCGGCTCCTTTTGGACATAAAACCCCACCCTTCCCACTTCAGTTAAGCCCTGCCCCATCTTCAGTGAGACAGGAAACAGCTGCTCATCATCCTGTCTTTAGCATCCTCTCGAGTCTGTGCAATCTCTCCTCCCCACCATTTTCAAATTTTTGTGCCTATCTAAAGTGAAATTTGAAGATTTCTGCAAAAGGATTGATGATTTATATCATTTTGTGCATTGGGGCTGCAAGAAAATCGGCGTCTAGCAAGATCCTTACTGTGCTCTGTCCCATCACGGTAAGGATCAAAAATAAGAGCTTGAAATAGAAATGCCTCTTTTTCACCCATAAAGTTGAGTAGTTCATCTGACATACATGCAAAACTAATAATTGTAGATTTAGTACATTACTCTGTAAATCTGAACTTGAAGACCCACAAAATAATTTTGTTCAGACTACAGATCCTATAGAAGTGGGGATCACCACTCGGTCCCCAAAGATGTTATAAAGAAAGAACAGTATGATAATAATGATTCATATTAACACACCTTTTATCAAAAGCATTCTAATAACTTTTTAGACTCCATGTAGGGATGACATTGGGTATTTCTGCTCATCATCATCTTTGGGGTGAAGTACAGCAACTGTTTAATGATGCAAGGCCTGGTGATCATAGTGTTGGGAAGCACTGGAGAATCTAGTCACCAAAAGAAATGCTGAGAAGCATAAAAGTAACTCTGGGCAGTATTACATATTTTCTAGGGCCTGGGAGAATTGCTGCAAGTACCATGGACTCTTTAAATACATCAAGTCAATCTCATGTATGAGAGAGGCTTCCTCTGCCCCTATCCCTCCTAACTTGCTGGAGCTTTTGTCTGGTTTCAACTCAGAGGAAGACGGTTTCCTTCCAAAGAGGCATCTCATGTGAGTTTGCATTTTCTTTATTTTTAATTATTTAATTGAAGTATAGTTGATCTACAATATTGTGTTAGTTTCAGGTGTACAGCACAGCAATTCATTTATATATATATATGTTCTTTTTTTTTTTTTTTTTTTGCCGCTCCGCGTGGCTTATGAAATCTTAGTTCCCTGACCAGGGATTGAACTCTGGGCCAAGGCAGTGAAAGCGCCAAGTCCTAACCACTGGACCACCAAGGAACTCCCCTACATATGTGTATATATATATGTGTGTGTGTGTGTATTCTTTTTCAGATTCTTTTCCGTTATAGGTTATTACAAAATATTGAGTATAGTTTCCTGTGCTACACAGTAGGTTCTTTGCATTTGCATTTAGACTTGGGATTTAGGAGGCAGACACACACCAAATAACTAAGTCAATGCGTGCCAAGAGAATTAGAAGAATGTAGCATTATTATTATTATTATTTTAATTAAGTATAATTGCCTTATTAACCCTCATTTGCATAATAACTGGTAAAGCACTTAGCTAATACATGGCTATATTTGCAATTTTATTCACCCAGAATATTTCTATTCAGCATTTGTATAGCACCTATTGGTTTATGATGCTAATATAGTAGATTCATGTTTCTGTTAAGGCTTAAGGGAAAGAAGTTGAAAGCCAAGTCCATTATATTACCTTCTTATGTAGAACCCTTCATCATGAAGGATTCCAAATTGCTTTACAAAGTACAGTGAAACCCTTTTACAGTGAATTCCTAAGGGGGCAGCTACAGTGGCGTTGGCTGCGGCATTTCGTTGCAGGAGCACTGTATTCAGCATTAGGAGATTGATGGGGAAGGGGCAGATGTTACAATCTTACAGCGCTTGGGAACTCAGACCGTGTTATTTGCCAAGGTGTCTACAGTCCGGAGCAAAGGAAAAATTAAACTCTGCTTTTGACCTATTATTAGATGCAATTTTAGTCTTATAAAGAAAGTATGCACAAAAGGAAAATATTTAGTGCAAAGGAAAAAAAACACCTTAATACAATAAGTGAGAAATGCATCATATGTAGAGAACGTGCTAGTAAATACCAAGTATTTGGTAACTACCACATTTTCTCAAGAACACAGTTTTCCTTCTTTTTAATTGTTTGTTCAAGCATAACGTTCAGAGAAGTGCACAAACCACAAAGTGACAACTCAATGGATTTTTCACAAAGTGAGCTCCCCCATGTAACCAGTGATCTGTTGAAGAAACAGAACGTTACTAGGACCCCAGAGAGCTCCATATGCAACATCTCAGTTATTACCCAATATTCTAGAGGGAACTACTTTCCTGACTTATAACACAGTAGGGTAGTTTTGCCAGTTTTTGAACTTTATGCAGATAGAATTACACAGTATATACTCTTTTATAATGCCTTCTTTTGCTCATTTTTATGTCTGTGAATTTATCACATTAACTGTATATAGCAATAGTTCATTCACTTTGATTGCTGTCTAGTAGTCCATTGTGTAAATGTACTGTAAGGGAGGAAAAATATTTTTACTGTAAAGGAGGAAAAATATCTTTTTCCTCTACCCTTTAAGTTCTTTTCTTTTTTTTTTAAACATCTTTATTGGAGTATAATTGCTTTACAATGGTGTGTTACTTTCTGCTTTATAACAAAGTGAATCAGCTATACATATACATGTATCCCCATATCTCCTCCCTTGTAAGTTCTTAACTGGGACCCTATAACAAAAGACAGGTTAACAAGAGAAAAGCATACAGATTTATTTAATGTAAGTTTTATGTGACACAGGAGCCTTCATAAGGAAATGGAGACTTGAGGAAATGGTTAAATCTGCGTGTTTTTATGCTAGGTTTGATGAAGGGTGGAAAGTTGTGAAAAGATATGATAGGACAAAGGGTATGAGGTAAGTGCAGTAAACTGGGGGAAACTTAGCAAGGCCCATTCATTCAGATTCCTCTCTGTGTCCCTTCATCTTTAGAGACAAGGATGCTCTTTTCCTCTGAATATTGGGAGGCCATCTCTCACTTGACGACGTGTGAGAGGTGAGAGGGTTTTTATGACCTACTTCAGGAGGAGATCAGAAAGTCCTTCCTGCACATGCAATTTCTCAGATTCCTTCAGTTTGAAATATTCAATATGCCAAGGTACTATATATATATTTTTTCAAGGTACTATATTTTGAGGTAGTGTGTCCTGAACCCCATCAGTACTATAATTTATTTGACAAAGGACACATACGCAGAATATATAAAGAACTCAAATCATTAAGAAAAAGGCAGGCATCCCAATAGAAATGAGGATAAAAATTTGAGCAGAAATTCACTTCACTTTGACAGAAGTGAAAAGGTGATCAATCTCATTGATTATCAGGGGAATGCAAATTGAAACCAGAAGATACCACTTATACTTCTAGCAGAAGGGCTAAATGGAAAAAGGCTAGCAATACTGAATGTTGGGAAGGCGTGATGATTCTGGTTGGCAGGTAAAATGGTACAACTACTTTGGAAAACTGTTTGACAGTTTCTTGAAAAGTTAAACATGCACCTACCTCACTCCTAATCCTTCTCTAGATATTTACCTATTTACTGAAGATAAATGAAAATATATATTCATATAAATACATGTTAAAAATGTTCATACAACTTTATCCATAGTAGCTTCAATCTGGAAATAATCCAAATGATCATCAATAGTATATTGGATAAATAAGTTTTTCTTCTTTTCAATAACTCAGAAACAGCTTTTTTAGCAAGCAGAAGGAAAGCAATAAAAAGGATCAGAGAAGAAAGTTATGAAATAGAGAACATAAACCAGTAGATAAAAGCAGTGAAGCCAGGAGTTGATCTTTCAAAAAGATCAACAAAAATTGACAAACTTTTAGCTAAACTAAACAAGAGAGAAAACTCAAATTGCTAAAATCAGAAATGAAAGAGGGATATTATTACTGACCTTACAGAAATAAAAAGCATTATGAAGGAACACTATGAGCAACTGTATGCCAACAACTTAGATGAAACGGAAAAATCACTGGAAAGAAACGAGCTACCAAATTTACTCAAGAAGAAAACAGAAAACCTGACTAAACCTAAAATAAGTAAAGAGATTGAGTTGAGAATCAAAACCCTCTTACAAAGAAAAGCCCAGGCCCAGATTTCTTCACTGATGAATTCTAGAGAACATTTAAAGAGTAATCAATACCAATTCTTCACCAACTTTTCCAAAAAATAGAAGGGAAGACTTTTCAACTCATTCTGTGAGGCACTTTAACTTTGATATCAAAATCAGACAAAAGATATCACAAGGAAAGAAAACTATAGAGCAATATCTCTCCTGAATATTGACCCCAAAGTTCTCAAAATACTAGCAATATATAAAAAGATGATACAGTATGCTCAAGTGGGATTTATCCCAGGAATTCAAGGTTGGTTTAACATCTGAAAATCAATTAGTGTAGTACACCACACCAACAGAATATGGACAAAAACTACATAATCATCTCAATAGATACAAAAGAAGCATTTGACAAAATTCAACACCACTTTTTGATTAAAAAATTCAACAAACAAGGAATAGAAGGGAACTTCTTCAATCTGTTAAAAGACATCTATGGAAAAGTCAAAGCCAATATCATACTTAATGGTGTAAAGCTGAATGTTTTCCGCCTAAGATCAAGAACAAAACAAGGACGTCCACCCTTACCTTTTATATTCAGCATTGTACTGGAAGGTCCAGCCAGGGCAATTAAGCCAGAAAATGAAATAAAAGTTATATGGATTGAAGATGAAGAGATAAAATTATCTCTATTTGCATGACCTTGTGTATAGAGAATCCTTA